CAAAGAGCCCTTTCAACTATCTTTTCTGAAAAGAAATTGAAACTTATTCCATCCATCTCTGCAATGCAACCAGCATTTGTGCTCCTTTTGACTCCAATTACGAACTTAGCTGTATCTGGTTACCATGTTCTGCCAGGTTCACCTTGTAAATAACTGTCACATGTTCTTTTACTATCAACTTCCTGATGCCAAGTACCATCTCATATTCTCTTATCTGGGCTTGCCATGCATCTACTGGTAGGAGCTTTCTCCTCTTCACAATGCATTCTCTAGACTGAACGTATGATGGTTATCATACTGAAGGCTGAAGGTTGACGGTTATCATCCTGTGCTCACTTATATACAGGGATTTTTGTGTTTTTCTTGGCCCCTGTCATAACTGTACTTCTGCTTTTTCTTACATGCTATTTGACTATTCAATTTCTTCTCACTTGTAAGTCCATATTTACTTACTACTATTGTGTCCTCAGCATCTAGCACAATGTCCAATTCACAGCAAGTTGTCACTATTTGAGTGACACCTAATTAAATTAATTAATATGGATAGCAAAGATTTAGGCATGTTTTAGTATCAATAAGGTAGTAAGTTCATAGCTTTGAATGATCGCCTAAGGGAAATATGTGTTCTTCTTGAAAAAAATGTATTGGAGATATGTTAATGAACACAAGAAAGATACTGATATCAAAAGTAGGTAGGGAAACCATTAGATAATTATGTCACAAACACCAAAGTAAGAGAGAAAAACAGATTGGTCAACTCTGTGAATATCTCAGAGTAGTCTAGAAAGGAAATGGAAATTATCTCAGAAGACCCAAATTTCCATCTCTACCCTAGTTTGCATGTAGTCACTCTTTGTCCAGCCATTATTCCTATACATCCCAGGCTTTTAGCTAAGATTAACCTAAAGCATTTCTTGTCATATTCTGACTTTTACTTAAATGGCTCTAGAAATTTTAACACTGTCATTGACTTTTTGTCTTTTTGAGACAGGGTCTCCCTGTATTCCCTGCTAGCCTCATTATGTATACCATACTGGCCTCAGTCTTACAGAGATCAGCCTGTCTCTGCCCGCTAAATGCTGGGATTAAGGGTGTGCACCTCAGTGCCCTAGAAATTTTTATTTCTATAACTTTTTCATTGATTTTTCTAAGAAAATAGACATGTAATAACCCTTAAATTGGCAAATGTGTATTCACCTTTCTGTGAATTCTTTAGTGTGCCTGAATTTGTCATTTTCCTCAGATCTGAATTCTAAGATATCTAGCCCCAGACCTACTTAATGTGTTTTGCCAAGCCCTTGTATTATTAAACACTGTATAAATGCCTCATTATGATGGCATTGTTTTTAAAAAAATTCCATCACTGTAGAGATGGCTCAGTGTTTAAGAGCAGTTTCCAGCATCTACATGGTGTCTAACAACCATCCATAATGCCAGTTCCAGGGGATGCCACACCCTTTTCTGGCATCCATGGGCACTAAATACATGTGTCACACATTCGTGCAGGCAAAACACTCATACACATAGAAAAATATTCCACTGCATGTACAATAAATTAGCACACAAATAAGAAGGAAATGGGATATTAACTACCTCGGTATTTTAAGATTTTAAAATAACCTGAAGTACATGAGGTATGAATTTAAAGTTTTCCAAGTGAGAATAGCTCATGAGTAAAATAAAATAAATATCTGTATTACTAGGAAAAATATTCATTGTGCTTGTCATTTGGAGGAAAGTAAAAATCCTTCTAAATATAGCTGATCATGAATTGCATGAACTTTTGTCTAAACTAATGCATGAAACACCATAGTATATATATGCACATGTATGAGTGTATACACTTATGGCATATATATATGCATTATGCTCACATTTATAATTTGAAGATATATATAAGATATTAATTCTTAAGTTACACCAAATTTTCTTTGCTCTAATGCAATTTTTTTTGCAAAAAAAGAGTTATTAAACAATAACTGTACTAAAAGCATCTGAACCACTCAACCAATGAAACCTTAAAAAGACACATGGTTTTCAAATGTTCTTAATCTTTGACTAGCTGGTGTATAAGCCATTATCTTTTTCTAAACCACATTCCCTCCCAGAATATAATCCTGAGATTATATGTCAAACCAGTAATCATGATGGTATGTGCCCTTGTACTAAATAAACAGTACTATGATTTAGGCATGGAATGGGATGAGGAGCCCATAAGACAAGGACAGAGAAGTAGTATTATCCAAAGTTATAGACTCAGGTGAAGACTAAATTCAAAACCTGTAAATATATAAATTAATATATTAATGTTACAATTATTTGACCAGGGGGAAAAGCAGAATGACCTGGATTAGAATCAATTGTAAAAGTAAAAAGAAAAAAAAATTAAAGTTGTGTGGCGTGAGAGGAAATCTAATCTTTTTAGAATCTTTAGCTATTCTTAAAGAAAATATCCTCCCAAAATTGGTGTGTAATTAATACTTCAAGTCTTATTGGGCCATAGAGGTCAACTAAGTAAATTCAAGAACAGTACCATAAATTTTATGGTGTATTCTTTAAATAGATTGAAACAGAAATAGTAGCAAAAGTGCTTTGGAGATAACATTCTCCACTTATCTTGCATCTAAACATTTACAGAAAAAAAGCGCACACTTTTTTTAGGAAATAGTCATTTCTCTTGGAGCATCTAGACTATTTGCTCATATATAACTACAGATCTAAAGTTCACATATATTTTTTCTGACAGTGAACTAAAATAGTTTACAATCTCATGAATAGTGTATATTTTATATTTTTAAAAAAGCCTTCAAAATTCCTATCCACTTAGTGAATGGCTTTTAAATAAGTTTATTTTCCTTATAATTGAATGATCTAAGGTATTGCACTGTAAATAGTTCACTATAAAACATTTTGGCTCTACTCTAAGACAAAACAACAAAATTGGAAGATAAGCCTTAAATGCCACTCTTGATAAAAATGTATATATCCTACTAACACAGTTAAAAATTCAAAAGCCCCAAATGAATGATCATAGGTTTTTCACACAGTTAATAGATATAAGTCTGAGATCACCATTTTCAAACCCATGAATATCCAATTAACATTAAATATTAAACATTTACTATACTAAGTAAAATTAAATTTAGGAGCGGTTTAGGGAAAACTCATAATTATGTAATAAAGATCACTAGGATCAATAATGTCAAAAATAGACCAACTCAAAGCAAGGCTGTCCTATCTTTCCAAACCCCAATCTACCACCCTACTAGGTGGATTTGGTATATATTCTGTCTCTCTTTTGTTATTATGGAAGAGTAGTTTCCACCTTTGTGAAAGACTATCCTTTGCCATTGATTACATGTGTCTAAAAGAAGTGCTTTAAAGAACTTCTTTGTCTGTGGTTAACACAGAAACTCACAACTAATCAAAATGCAGTTAATAAGTATAAGTGAAATGTTTGCCCAGAAATGGGACACCTATATCACCCATCCCAAAGGCTCAGGGCCCATCCTGGAAGGAGGACAGAAAACTGTAGGAGCAAGTGGTCAGGGAGGAAGATAAGAGCAAAACAATGTCTTCAGGATATCATAGGACTGTTGTACTTATGAACTCACAGCAGCTGTGCTTGCCTAAACAAGACCTGCACAAGATGAAGCCCGTCAACTTTCTAACATGATTTGATGGTTTCTAGGGGAAGGAAATGAGATTTAAGGTAGGTTGACCATGCTCCAGGAGATGGTCCCACACCTAGGAGTATATGGGTTATTAAAGAGTACATGAAGATGGGAAGGGTGAAAAGTGGAAAATTGATCTGGGAGGAGTTAAGAGAGGTGAGGAGGGGGTGAATATGCTAAAAAAGCATTCTATGAAATTCTTAATGAACTAAAATATCATATTTTTAAAAGAGTTTCTTTGCAATGTCACTCATCCATCTGCCTCTCTTTATTGGGGCATTCCAGTACCATGGTTAGTAGTACGCATCTTTTTCATAAATATTTTATTTATTGTTTTTATTTTATGCATATGAGTGTATTGCCTGCATGTATGTGAGTACACCCATGTCATGCAATGCCACGCAGGTCAGACGAGGGCTTCGTATTCCCCCTGGAACTGTATGGTTCCAATTCCATCCAGGACAGTTCGCAGCCGCCATGTAGGTGCTGGGAATCGAACCCGGGTCCTCTGCAAGAGCAGTCAGTGCTCTTTACCACTGAGCCGTTTCTCCAGTAGTACTCATCTTAAAACAAAATAAAATGAAGGTTTGGAGAGATGGCTCAGAAGTTAAGTGCACTGGCTGCTCTTGCAGAGGACCTGGGTTTGGTTCCCTCCACCCACATGGCAGCTAATAACTATCCGTCCATAACTCCAGCTGCAGGGGATGTGATGCCCTCTTCTGACGTCTGCGGACACTGAACAACACAGGTGCATGCATGAAGGCAAAACACACATACACATAAATAAAGATAATAAATAAAATTTAAAATGAAATGAAACTCCTTTGACACCAGACCCTGCACCGTCATTCTGTGTCCATGCTAACCTCAATGGAAAAAAAAATCCTCAAAACAGATTTTTTTAATCTAGAACCAGCACAAAGGTGGCGGTAACAAAAAGTCTGCCAAACACTTCCATTTTCCCTGCAACAAATGTTTAATCTTGTTTAGTTTTTTTCATCATTTGACTATTCTATAGAAAAAAATGGGAATAAAAACTCTACATACTGTACTATAATATGTATAGCCACACCTTATCTTTCATGAATTACTTTAGAAATATTTTGTTACATTTAATTATTTGGGATCAGTTCCATGGCAGGCATGTGGAGAACAGAGGGCAATTTCCATGAATCAGTTTTCTCTTTCCACTATGTGTATCCCAGTCATGTGACTTAGCATCAAACAGGTTTACCTGCTGAACCATCTTGCCTGCTCTTGAATTACTTTTCATAGAAGATATTAAAGACTGTATTATCAGTGTGACCCTGTCTTTGATGTACTCACGCTCACTTTCCCATTGCGATTGTCTTCTTCCCTCGATGCCAGGGCCTTCAGAAAATTATCTTTCAGGTCTTTCCCAGTACTTGTTAGTGTCCTGTAAAAAGAAGGTCTCCTGTTACACTATCTCAGATAACAAATGTGTTTAAGACACTCGGATCAATAATCATGCTTCTTTTACCAAAATGGTGGCATAGTTATAACATTGAAAACACGTGTCCACAACCATTATGAACAGATCTCTAAATTTTATTTTTCTATTAGTTACTTTTTTGTTGCTGTGATAAAATACCATGACCAAAAGTAACTCAAGGAAGAAAATTTATTTTGGACTATGATTCCAGAGGGAAAATGCAAAATAGCAGGAGGCATGGTATCAGGAGGCTGGAGCAAGAAGCTGAGGGATCATATCTCAACTGGATATAAGAGACACAGAGAGGACAGACTGGAAGTGGGAAGAAGCTACGAAGCCTCAAAGCCTGCTCCAAGGGACACGCTTCCTCCAACAAGGCTTCGGTTACCAAAAATTCCATAACTTCTCCAAACAGCTTTAGCAACTGGGGACCAAGTATTCAAATATATGGGGGACATTTCCCATTAAAACCACCACAATTTTACATAGTTATAGAATTTTATTTAAAATGTAATGAAGTGGGAAGAAGCTACGAAGCCTCAAAGCCTGCTCCAAGGGACACGCTTCCTCCAACAAGGCTTCGGTTACCAAAAATTCCATAACTTCTCCAAACAGCTTTAGCAACTGGGGACCAAGTATTCAAATATATGGGGGACATTTCCCATTAAAACCACCACAATTTTACATAGTTATAGAATTTTATTTAAAATGTAATTGGAATTAAATTTATAAATAATATAAATATCCATATTAATGCTCAAGCCACATGTTATCCACTTCATTTCTATATCCATTTGTTCTTTCTATCATGTCATGAAAAGCCAACATGTTTATACTCCTCATTTCCAATTAAAAACTTAAATTTCTACAATTCATGTACAGTTGACTGATTGATTTAAGCCAATACAGTCAGTAGAATAGAGCATTAATTTTTTTTTTCTCTACGGGTGGAGATCCTCAAAGAAAGGAAACTAATTTGAGATAACTTTTAAGATTATCAACAGATAATCCAAGAAATAACTCCCAACAGAAATAACTTCCAACAGAAATAACTTCCCTTGGAAATAAAGGGTTTTAAGGAAATTTTATGAGATCATTGAAGTAGCATTGACTTGCAAAGCGAAAAGGGAGCTGAACAGTGTTTTGCAAAAGAATAATCCCATCCTCTTATGAAAATTTTCTATGTGTTCAACAAACCTTTTTATTATGTACCTATTTTAAACCAGGAGCTTTATCAGGACACAAACATCAGTAAGTCACCATTCCTGCTCCTGGGTTGCCTGTGGTCTCATAGAGGTAAACAGGTATGTAAACAGAATAACATACTATGGGATAACTATCAGTAGAGATATGGACAGAATATCAGAGACGTTATTAAGAAAACCTGTTGCCCAATCAAGGAAAAGTTAGTTACATTTAAAGCATTTGCTAAAACTGAATGTTGAAAGATAAGAGTGTTAGTCCTGTTTTCTGGTGGGAAAGGGAGGAAGACACTGGTAACTGCAAAGGAATGAAAGAATACAGCTGCAGGCTACAAAGGAAACTTTTAGTCATGTCAAAGCAGAAATTAAATGCAAGAATTAAGGGAGAAACTACGTACTATTTATAAAAGTTAACAGTTTGTAGACTTTATAGAAATTTAGTAAAGCCACACAGAGAGCAAGAGGAAAACCTGAATTTGAGTCCAGGCAGTCTTGTCCTAAAACTCCTTATTGCAATGACTGGGCTGTAATGTTTTTCAGGGAATGCATGTGTTCTTTGTAAGGACCTTGGACTTTGTCTCACACAAGTTTCTCCAGGGAAATAAGACAGTATAATTTGTGCTTGAGAAAGAATATTCAGCAGCTTTAAGAAATTGAGGGAGAAAAGAACAACACTTGAGAACTCATGCAGGGGATGTTTCAAAGCTTTAACAAGAGGTGAGAAAGATCTGACTTCAAGCAATGAGGGAAAGGCTAGGCAGAAAAGGACGGCTTTCGAAAATGTTGAAGAAATAAGGTGGGACCTTCAAGGTGGCTTAGTAGGTGAAGGCACTTGCTGCCCATTCTGATGACCTAAATTCAGTCCCTGGAATCCAGATGGTGGAAAGAAAACCAGTCCTGAAAGATGTCCTCTGAGCACCACTCCCCATACCATACATACTAAATAAATAAGTATAAAACGTTGTTTAACTACAATGTGTTGGAAATCGTGAAGTTTCAATAGAGAACTAGCTCTGCAAGTGCATCAGTTGGAATTAGTTGTTCTACTAGAGAAACAAATGGCCCCAATCCCAGTGGTTATAATTATAATTTCTTTCTGATAATACTGTAAGAGACTCAACAATATCTTTGGCTATATGATAATCAGTGCTCTTCTGATAAGTTCTTTTTTTAATTTAGCTCACTAGAGCCTGAAATTGTTATTCATAAATAAAATACATAAGTGATAAAATAGAACTCCAGTTAAGATGTTCTGTACTGATTTCCATAGTAATTGAGCTCATGAGCACTTCGAGCACTTCGAGCAACAGGGTTTCCCTTTCCTTGCATCCTCACCAGAATTTGTTTTTATGATATCCTGGATTTAGTGGAACACAATTTTAGTGTAGGTTTAATTTTCATTTTCCTGATGGCCCAGGATGTTGAAAACTTTTTATTAACCATTTATACTTCTTTATCTTTTGAGGTATGCCTTCTCATTTCATTAACTCACTTACTATATATTTATGATAACAGATTTAACATAGATACATAAAAATAAATGTATATGCATATGCACATGCACACACCTACACACATGTAAATTAAAGCAAAAGACAGATGGGGAAGAAAGAGTCTAGCAGGAGGGTAGGAGAGGGAGGGGGAAACAAGGTAAGGTATTGGGAGTAACTATGATTACACATGACGTACTTGAAAAAACAAGTCTTTATGGAACCCAACACTATGAGCAATGAATACACACCAACAAGAAATCCAAAATTTACAAAAAGCAAGAATGCACCTCAACTCCCCCCTGAAAATTACAGAGTTCCTGAGTATCTACGTGGCGACCCTATCCTTACTCTTATTACCCTCTTCATCATACCTTGATGAATTGTAAATCTTCAGGTTTTAGATAAGTTAAAGTTCACTTTGATCACCAACCTGTCTCACAACAAAAACAGTAACAACCCATTACCAGTTTTCCATGCATTGGTCGAGATTACTTTTATAGGATATACATGTGAAGTCTTTATGTACATATAATACAGTGAAATATGTATTCATATTCTGAAATATATTTATGTTATATATTTACAATTTCATAGGGTAAATTGTTCACTTTATTACATATTTTGTACCTTATTACTTTGTTATTATTTTTATTTGTGGGGATGGATACTTGTATGTGTAAAGAATGCTCAGAATTATCCCCAGGTATATCAGACATGAAATACCAAATGAATAGATTTGTAGGTAACATTCATTAATAGAAAGGAATACCAAATATTCTGTCAGGCCTGGATATCTTGCTGAAGGCTGAAGTTTTGGGAAGGCACCTGGGCTACTCAGGAAAGAGTTATTATGGTCACAATGCTTGTTGTCCCTAAACAATTAGTATAGCAGACATGATTCTCCCTCTTCTCCTGAAACAGAAGCCTCAGTTTTCACCTACCCTGTAGGTGCCTAGAATAAAGAGCCTATTTCTTAGCCTTTCTACAATGAGTTATATGCATGTGGCTGATTTTAAATGATGTAACCCAAGCGAAAATCAGACTGAGTAGGAAAGAATTTAGAAATGAGGGACCAAGGAAACTGCAGCTACACCCTCATAGATGTATCTCCTGGGTATGCAGGAAGTTAGAAGTGAGGGGATCAAGGAAACTGCAGCTATGTCTCCTGAGAGGGCAGCTAGATGTGCGAAGACCAAGGAAACTGCAGTTGAACCCTGGTGTGTCTTACGGAATGCCCCCATGTAGTTAAACATCAGTAGGTTCTTCCCAATAGACCAGAAAATAAAACAGTAGTGTACTTTTCCAATGACAGCATGTATTACTTTTCTGTTGTCGTGATAAATCAGCATCATTAAGGCAACTTATAGAAGGAAGAGTTTATTTGGCTTATGGTTCATAGGGGTAGAGTCCATAATGGCTGGGGAGGCATGGCGCCAGAGTGGCTGATCAGAAAGCCTAGTGATCACATCTCCAAGCAGGCACAGGAAGAACAGAGCAACTGGAAATGGGGCAAGGCTTAAGAACTCTCAAAACTCAACCCCCCAGTGAAGTGCTTCCTCCTGCAAAGCTGCACCTACTAAAATCAACAAAAACAGTGCCACCAGCTGGGCACAAAATGTACAAATAACTGAAGTCTATGGGGGATATGCTCTTTCAAACCAGGATGCCACACATACATGTTAATGCAAGGTCTGAATCCTTAACAGACCTCAGCTTCATTATAACATCATTTGCATTATGACTTTGACACTCACAAACCTTTGTAGTCTTTTCAAGAGGCTCATAAGAAGAAATACAAGGCAGGAGAGATGGCTCAACAGTTAAGAGCACTGGCTGCTTTTGCAGAGGACCCAGGTTGAGTTCCCAGCCACCCATATGACAGCTAACAACCATTCACAATTCCAATCCCAGGAGATCTGAAGGCCTTTTCTGTCCTCCATGGCCATTGCACCCACAGGTATATATACATACATGTAGATAAAACATTCATACACATAAAATAATTTTTTTAATTCAAAAAAGAAGGGGCTGGAAAGATGACTCAGTGGTTATAAACACTGACTGCTCTTGCCAGAATCCACATGGCAGCTAACAACCCTCCATAACTCCAGTTTCAGGGGAATCTGACATTCTCTTCTGACCTGTGTGGGCATTGCACAAGGTGGGTGCACTTGCATACATGCAGGCAATACATTGACACACATAAAATAAAAATAATAACAAAGAAAGAAACAAAGAAATGCCATTAAAGGGAGATCTTACCCACAAC